ATGGGAGGAAAAACAACAAGAGTTCCTGTTGCCAGACATCAGGAGACACCCCGCTCCCGCCCACTTATCACCCAGAATGCTTGCTGGAAACATCTAAGACTGAATAGGGAGAAAGATCAGGCCCAAGCTAGTAAGCTGCTTAGCTTGTGAAAAATATGATTAAAATTACTGTTGTTTAAGAATTTGCATGTAACAATTTTCTTCATGAATTAGGATTAACCGGCGTGCTTTATTTTATTTTTTTTTTTGCTTAGTAATTTATTTTTGTCTGTCTGTTATCATGTGCAATCACTTAAATCCTTCTTTTTATATTTAATAAAAGCCATTTTATTTATTATCAAACCCAGTGTAAATAATTGGTACAGAGAGGGGAAGCAACCATTGTGAATATCTGTCTTTCACTGATAAAGAGTGCAAATCTTATCAACTTTCTCAGCGTAAAACTTTTATACAGAGCAAGATGGATTTATTTGGGGGTTTTGGTGCTCAATGGGGCTGTACTCCTGGGTGTACTCCTTTAGTTGAGCTCTCCCACAGCTGAACTGGTTCAGTACCTGTGTTGTTCTGCTGGAGGCCTGTTTCCTGTACTCTGTGTCTTTGCTTGGGGAGACCAGAGCTTCTGGCCCAGGAGGACAAAGTAGTTAGGTGCCCCAGAGGGCAGACCAGCAGGCTCAGAGGCATGATTTCAGGGAAACATCTGGGATATAACCTGTCACATCCACTAAACACCAAAAAGAAGAGATTCAATAGACACTGGTTTTGTGTCTCATTACAACGAACTCTGCTAACTAACTCTCTCTCTTTTGTCCTATGATTGCAAAGGTGTTCATTGTCCACTTCATTTTGAATAGTTTCTTGCAACAGCTGTTCCCTTCTTATGCTTAAAGATTTGTTTTTAACTAATTTATGGCTTATCTACACTGACAAAGTCACTGTGCTGTAACTTTCTCCTTTAAGGGTGTGAAAAAACACCTCTCCTGCCTCTGAGCACAGCAAGTTACATGGTATAGCACCAGTGTAAACAGGTTCCCAGGGAACCATGCTCCCAACACTGTTAGCTACTCCTGACATGGAGGTGGTATACCTAGGGCAGGGGTGAGGGACCATTTTTGGATCGAGGGCCTCTGACCCACATTAAAATCAGTCAGGGGCACACACAATTGAGAAGCAAACAAACAAAACAAAACCAAAAAAATCCACCAAAACCCCTTCCACTCTGATGTGGCCCCTGAGTAAGAAAAGAATTCCCCACATTCCCTTTGCACACCAGAGTCGGGGTCCAGCCTAGTAGATTTTGTGTGCTCCAGCCCTGAGCATGGGAGCTAGATCCAGGCAAGCTGGGGGCCAAATGCAGCCCCTGGGCCTTAGGTTTCCCACCCCTGACCTAGAGCCATGACCACACTGCCATTTTAAAGAGATGGAAGTGTAGATAAAGCCTAACACACTCTGATTACCTTTCCCAAACCAAATGAAGAGCTTTGTGGAGCTTGAAAGCCAGTCTCTTTCACCAAGAGACATTTGTTCAATAAAAGATTAACTCTTCCCCCTTGCCTCTCTCGGTGCATCATTTTATTACGTCATATCATCCGATTGACCAGTAAGGTAATTGGACAGACAAGATGGCATCTAACTAAAGTACTTTTATGAGGCTGAAAATGATTACTTTTCACATAGCAAATATTTCTGTCACAACTCAAGGCTGAGATGAATAATAGATACTATTGTTTTATTTCAAGAAATGTATGCATGGCTAGCTAACATTTAATTTTATGGCGCACAAACACACACCTAATTGGACCAATATGGGAAGCCACTGAACAAAAACAATGTGCTTTGTGCATATCTGCTTAATTTTCTCTCTCTAAGTTAACCTGAAAATAAAACCGATTGACTCAGGCTTTTATGGGGCCATTTGAAGGTCACACATGGCTGACTAGACTCAAACATAAAAGCTGGAATTTAAGTTTCATTCAGTAACATGGACCTGTTTACCTTTGTAATTCCCCATGTTTCATTTTAAACCTTTTCAATATAATTTTCATAATCTGAAGTAAGCAAGTTATTAAACATTGTACTAGATGTCACCAGTTGGAATTGGACAGCTATACCTAACGATCAGAAGGCCACTCATAAAATATGACTATCTTTTCCTGTATGAATTTCTACAGGCAACTGTAAAAGCATTCTAATTGTTAAGGCAACCACAGCAAAAAATATTTGAAAGGTGATTCTCCCTTGAAAAGTGACAATGTGAAAACCAGGTCCTGAAGCTCCATATTTATTATCACAGAATAGCTTTCAGGTCAAATTGCTTAAGTTACAAATAAAACAGTAATTTTAAAACCTCTGCCAACACTAAAAACTCACACTGGAATGTGAACATCAGTTTTTCCTATTTACACATTATCACCCATAAACCAAATGCAGTGTGCAAAAGTTATATCTACAGTGTTACTGAAAGCATGGTGAATTTTAACCTACTGATAATAAACTTCAGATGGACGGGTGAAAATTATGGATGATGATCTGCAAATAGGAAAGAACTTAGCTAGACTTTCAAATCACTGGTGATTTTAACATGAATAAAGATGACAGAATCTAGGAAAGGCAGAGGCCAGACCCCAAGTAATGCCAGATCATGGTTGTTGTAGAAGTAAGTAGGTACTGCAGGAAAACAGGATATGCTTCTGCGAAAATAACTTTTATGAGGACTATAACAAGTTGTCTGAGGGTGTGTGTATACAGCACCCTTACCTTGAAAAAAGCCACGTAATTTGCACTACACAAATTGCATAGCTTATTTCAAGGTACAGTAATTTCAAAATAGTTTATTATGAAATTTGGCACTGTTTACACTGCACCAAATTTCAAAATAAAGGACGATTCTGACAAGTTGCTTAACCCTTGTGGAACGAGGGTTAGAGGGACACCAGAATACCACGCACATTATTTCAAAACAAATTTTGAAATAACATGTGCGTTTAAAGATGTGGAATTGCTATTTCAGTGTACAGTACTTCTGGTATCCCAAAATAGCCCCGCTGGCTAGATGTAGCTTCTTTGATTAAAAACTAGCAAATTACACATTCTTCCAGTATATTACAAAGTTGCTATTCAAACCAAATTTACTCTAGAATATTTGAATTACTGAAGACCTATAAGTGATAAAGTG